AAATAAACTCATTCTTATGATCCTGAAAATATACATTCTTATGATCCAGAATGATGATGATATTTCATAATTCTAAAATTAACCTCGCCTTCAGTGATAATAAAAAAAAAATAAGGATATTCATATATCGAAAAAAGAAGAAGAGAGAATCCACTATATACAGCGAAACAGTCTGTCTGTAGATGACTATGCTTTCGAAATAATTTGATTAAGCTCTCGGAGAGGAAGGGGTGATTTTAAAAACAGTGGCAGCTGCTGCTAATGCAATGCTCTTCTACTCGAATCGAGGTCTCCTAGCGACTGACGTCTTCCGCATAGTAAAAACGTTAAAATTTCCCTTCCGCGCTGACATGCGACGATAGGTTTTGGGCAGAATCTCTGCCAAATAGGTAGGTTTTAGATCCCGGCTTGAAGCAATCGGATGTCTAGTCACACTGATGAGTCTGTGGATGACTATATATATATATATATATATACCAGAATGTAATGAGAACGAAAATAATATATAAATTCTAACGTTCACTGCACTAATTCAATAGAGGCCTCAATACCGATAGTAGAGCAATAATTAATTATTATAATTTTTTATATAGACAAAAACAATTTACTCACGACAAAGATGCAACTTCGTTTCGGTGCATTAAATGCATTTTTGTCGTGAGTAAATTGTTTTTGTCTATATGAAAAAATTATAATAATTACAACGAGCTATAACATCAAATAAATAAAGCAAATTAGCAAATGGATTGCCATTGAAAAGGATGCTTATTAGGATGAAAAATGATATGACTCTTTCACGGAATAAAATGAGTTATATGTTATCACATTACCGATTGGTTGCCATCAGCAAGTAAGTAGTTGTAATCAGATCTCTTTGTCTCTTTTTGATATCAACAGTAATCATCAGTACTGATAAAAGATGAAAGAAATTCATATCCAACAATAATTAGATTGAGAAAACAAAACTACTCATGTCTGGATGAGAAGAGAAAACATGTCGCCGTGAAAGGAGAGAACAATTTATATGTTACACCTTGGTGCATCGAATGTTTCCTTGACTCTGTAAAAACATCAAAGCCGACAAAATAAAATAGAAATTATAGAAAAGACAGGAAAATTTGATATACATAGAGAGAGAGAAAGAGAGTGAGAGAGAGAGATATAAAAAGAACAATAAACAGCTGCACACACACACACACACACACACACACACACACACACACACACACACATATATATATATATATATATATATATTAGATTGTGCAGTATATATATATATATTATATCATAAAGAGGTAACCATACAAAGAATTAATTAGTTATGTTAATTTAATTAATGGCGAAATCTCTTCGCTAACAAGACTTAATAATGCATTAACTTACTAACAGTTCAGGTTCTAATACTTATATAACTGCCAATAAATAACATATTTAAAAAAAAAACACATCTTTCGGTCTACGCCACATTTATTTCGTCTTGGAGCTTACCTGTAAATGGTAAAATTACTCCCTGAGGATGGAAATGTGAAATTTTCGAAATTTTTTTACTACGTTAGTAAAACTTCGAAAACCTAACAGAAGAAATAAATATATAAAATAAAAAACGAAAATAAAAACAAATAAAATAAATTAACCCAAATAAATAAATAAACAAGCTACTCCCACCAAAATAACCCCCAGAATGGATTACCCACAATGTACCATTGACCCATATATATATATATATAAATAGTCGAGAAACAAATCCATCACTCGCGGGCTGACGATTGCGTTTAGCATGAAACAGCCTGTCGCCTCTGAGTGTGTATTTAAATGTTCACTTATATATATATATATATATATATATATATATATGAAACTTTTGCATCAACGTAATGTGCACACACACACACACACAACGAATACACAATGATAAATTTAATATATTTACACAAGTAAAATACACCATATTTTATAAACACGATTGACACCTGAGATGATAGGAAGAGTCTGCTGCGTCAAACTTTCAAGTGAAAAACCTGTAAGCGCATTCGACGTATGAGGGTGAAGCATTTCAGTTCCCAGGAACCAACAGCCAGACACCCGCAAATATGATTTGATTATAGTGGCGAAGGCTTTGTGCAGAACCAACCACTCTTTTTGAAGGGCCGAATACAGAAACCTGGTGCACTACGTGCCACGCGGTCCCCAAACGACCCTCCGCAGGTTTTGAATTCAGAGTTATCTTTTGAAGTGAATGTAATGGATTCCACTGGAATTCGAACTTGGCTCTACGATTTCTCAATCCGAGCTTCTATTCATTATTACACCATGCAAGTTTTAGATATATCATGGGATAATTGTCTATCCCACAAAATGTTTAATATCTAAAAAAAAAAAAGCACTAAACTATTTAAGTTTCTTTTTCGCAGGGTTAGCCATCTTGACACCATTTGTCGTAAGGGTTATTCAGAAAGAGAACACGTTTTGTGTCAGCCTCACTATTTCTTCACAACTGACCAATGGTGAGAGGAAAAAGATCATTCAGACCTTCAGTAATGATACCAACATTCATACACTGGATTCCATTTTCAAAGTCCATTCAAGAACCACCATGAAAACGCTGAATAAGTTTTAAAAAAGAGGGAACAGTAGAGAGGAAAACTGTCTTAGGAGGTTACAAAAAACAAGAGGGATCATCATTTCAACTTATAGTCAAATACATTCTTATTGTTCAAAGTAGAGTCCAATAGTGTTATAAAATACCTCGGAGAATTCCAGTAAGATATCTTTAATCATTTCGATTTGGATAATTTTCCTGTTGCACAGGTTGAAAGTCACGTTATATTTCTCGCAACCAAATGCCAATTCTATTCTTTTGCATAATAAAATCTGACATATTTTATACAAATACTACATAAAAGTATTGCAAATTTCACACAAATTTATTGACAGCTTTCTGACAAGCGGATAATGCTGTTGTCGATTTTCGAAAATCAATATCCAAATTCCCGAACTTTAGCAAAGTTTGAACAGCATCTCCAGATACTTTGGGCAAACACCTCAATTGCTAAGGAAATATTTCGACAATTAAGCACGTGCATGTTTGCATGCAAATATACGCATTTGAAAACTCCATATCTCATCATCATCGTGTTAAATTGAAATGGTTTCTCATTCATCATTCTGACAGTTTTATTCGCTTACACGCCCCTTTTTCTGATCAAGCCTCATCTTAGCCTAAGGATTTTTTTTCCAATCTCAGCACGTATTATCATCTAATATATTCCACTGAGAATCTTTGATCAGCCGTTCGATCTAATTGAGTTTGTGAACCAAAGTTGATCCTGACAGAGGACAAATAAGATAAAGTGATTGCGAATAAAAATAAAATAGAAATACAAATAATGCATTAGTTGATTGCTGCCCAGCGGTTGGTTCTAGTGATATAGGTATGGATGCGATAAAAGGATTATATTCATGGATAGATAAAAAGCGAATCGGTACATGAAACAAATAATATATTATGTCCCGTTGGGGATAAGATTTCAACAGTCTTTCGCTGAAGGCCAGTAAAAACGAAAAAAAATAAAAGAAGTTTCCTACTTCCTAACAAATCTGGTGGTCGGTAAAGGGTTATGAAAACGCCCACGGCATTCAGTTATTTTATATATATATATATATATATATATATATATATATATATATATATATATATATATATATATATATATATATATATATATATATATATATATATATATATGTATATATATATCTATATACTGTGTATGTATATATATATATATATATAAATATAAATATATATATATATATATATATATATATGCAATTATATATATATATATATATATATATATATATATATAGTTTATATAATATATATAAATAAAATTATATGCGTTACTTATTGAAAATGATCAATATCAGTGATAGAGCTAACATATTTAGTTGGATTGGTGTGAGTTTGTGACCCTGGGTTTTACCCTATTTGCGACCGTCTGACGATCGCGAATAGCGTGAAACCCTGGTCAAACTCAAATCAATCAACTATCAATCCAAATATATATATGTGTGTGTGTGTGTGTGTGTGTGTGTGTGTGTGTGTGTGTGTGTGTATATATATATGTCGATGTAAGATAGAATTTGTGAAAACAAGTTGGATGATTTTTTTTTCTATTTCCTTGAATTTTTCCTACTTCCCTTTTAATTTTTTACTTTCTTCTATGAATTCTGAAAACAACGTTGCTGAAATTGCACGTAATTCACACCAGGTATTAACGAAGTGGAGTGCATAAAGGGAATTGACCTGAAGTCAATCGCGGCCGCCGGTTGGGGACGCACGTAACCGCATACCTGCATGTAGTTATCAGATGTGGGAAAGATTTTATCACACTCCAGGCAGTCTCGGTCAGTCTCTCACACATCGTAAGCGGAGAATGTAGGGTCCACGTATCGTGCGAAAAGCGTCCGGGACCCCGCGCACACATCAGACTAAACGAGTGTAACTGATAAGAAATATGGGCGGGAATGAAAATGGTAAGTAAAGAAGATTCAAATCTCGTTTTATTTTTTAATCGCTATCCTCATTCCATTAAAAATCTAAAGAAAAACATCGTTAGCCTGACCCGCCTGATACTTAAACGCCGTTAAATTTAGCAGTTAATAAAATTTCAAGAGAACCAGAAAGACTCTATTTTTGGTCACTAGAGTTGTTAAAGAAGTAGCTTTTATCTGATGTATCATAACGTGTTTTCTGTAAAATTAAATCTTGTAACTTAAAGAGAAAATAAACATTTAACCAAAAAGATGGAAAATCGCTTCCAAAACAAATAAAAAAAAAAGATTCATAAATGGCTTAACTCTATCCTGATTGGTTGCACATAGACATGTGTTATACTGCCCGTCAAATATTCAAGTAGTATTTCTCTGTCACTCTTCCAACGTGAGCACTTTCATGGCGCCTATTAATTTCTCGATTTTCCCATACTAATTAGGCGACGGCCAACACTTCTTTCGTTCTTTCTTTTCTTTTTTATTTACTGGCACTTTTTTAAATATTCCTTGTCCCCCTTTCCGTATTATGGTTCAAATTCTTTCTTTCATGTTCTTTTTTTTATTCTTTTCAATGTTCAGTTTTTGCTATTTACTTTCCATTCTGAGTTTTCGTTCTTTATTTCTTTCTCTCTTTATTGAACCTTATTCCAGTATCTCTTGCTCTCATTTCTGTACTTTAGTTTTTCTTTCTTTCCTTTCCTTGCCTTCTTTCTTTCTTTCTTTCTTTCTTTCTTTCTTTCTTTCTTTTGTTTTTGATACATTTTCTATTATTCCTTTCTGAATTCTGATTTAATTACTTTCTTTCTCTCTTGTTATTTTTAATTCCTTCATTTCTTTCTTTCTTTCTTCCTTCGTTCTTTCTCCCTCTCTTTCTTTCTTTCTTTTGCATATTGATACATTTTCTATTATTCTTTTCTGAATTCTGATTTTGATTCTTTCTTTCTCTATTGTTATTTCTAATTCCTTTCTTTCTTTCTTTTGCTTATTGATACATTTTTTGTTGTTCCTTTCTAAATTCCTGTTTAGATTCTTTTTTCTCTCTTGTTATTTTTAATTCATTCATTCATTTCTTCCTTCCTTCCTTCCTTCCTTCCTTCCTTCCTTTGTAACAATACGGTTTTTATTCTTTTGTAGCATGTACAGCGGGGAAAAATAAGAATAAAATTCAGAGGCTCTTGCAGAAACCGGATGTAGCCGCGGTTCGACGCATGTCGTAAACTACTTTTCGTTTGTTCTGACTGAAGTTTCAACTTCATTTTCGATGCCGTTATCCGTCTTCTTTCTTGGCCAGTTATTTCGCTTTCTTCTATCAAGACGTGTTTCATCATAGGCACATCTCTATTCTTTCTTGTATGCTCAGTAGACTTGTGTTTGTCGACTCTGTCCTTTTATCAAAGATCATTTTTAAAATGTTACAATTTTCCTATTTATGCACATTTTATTAGGAATTAATTTTAGCAAATGCTATGAAAGTTTGAATTTAAAATATGAGATTAGGATATGCAAGAAACTTGTTATTGACTGACGTCGCACATTTTTATAATTAACTGAAAGGATTTTATTACTTTCAAGCTATCATTAGACCAAAAATATTCGTTAAAAAACAGTTTTATTTAAAGGGTGATTTTTTTATAATTAATATGTTAACATTCATTGACTGACTGAGGAAATAGTTCGGCAGAAAATGTCGCAAAAGGTAGATTTGTTATTTAATGGAAAATGTACATCAGCTTGAATCTGATGTAATGATAAACGATAATGTGTAAAGGCGCAGTTAATGTCGCCATCTTCATCAATGACTTTAATAACGACAGAATGTGTCGTTTTTTGAAGCCGGACAGATGATTTTCTACAATCTGCTGCCAGAAAAATTGCTTCCCTGGATTAACTTGTTGCTAAGGAGAATGACGTCGAATTAACCGCAATCGTTAGTTGGGATTATGACATAACAACTGAAATAATGAAGTATGATGATAGGAAAGAAAAAGTAGAAAAGTGTGATCATATGATTCATATTTCTATTGCTTCATGTATTATTATTAATATTATTATAATCATTATCCTCCTCCTCCTCTTCATCATCATCATTATTATTATTATTATTATTATTATTATAATCATTATCATCATCATCATCATTATAATCATTATCATCCTCTTCCTCATCATCATCATCATCATCATTATTATTATTATTATTATTATTATTATTATAATCATTATCATCATCATTATCATTATAATCATTATCATCCTCTTCCACACCATCATTATTATTATTATTATCATCACCGTCATTATTATTATTATTATTATCATCATCATCATCATTATTATAATCATTATCATCATTATTATAATCATTATCATCATTATCATCCTCTTCCTCCTCATCATTATTATTATTATCATCGTCATTATTATTATCATCATCATCATTATTATAATCATTATCATCATCATCATCCTCATTATCATCATTATTATTATCATCGTCATTATTATTATTATCATTATCATCATTATCATCCTCATCATTATTATTATAATCATTATCATCATCATCATCATTATTATTATCATCGTCATGATCATTATTATCTTCATCATAATCATTATTATAATCATTATCGTCATCATCACCCTCCACCTCATCATCATCATCATCATTATTATTAATATTATTGACAAACAAAATGATTGACGTAATTCTTCCAATATTTTTCAACAGATAAAAGAATAGTGCGATTTAAGAAAAGAAAAAGACAATTTTTAACAATGTTAAACAATATTTCAACAGAACGCCCGTCTTCTTCAAGTAATATTTTTATTTTCAAGAATAAAAATATATAAATCAACAAAAGGTGATAAATCTTTTTGCAAACATTGCTTGTCTTGTAATGAAAAAAAAATAAACGGCTGTCCTGATAATCAACGCGTCAGAACGAATAAAACACCCCCAGCGTAAAGGCATGCAATTTAATATGAAGGTAATCTTGTTCGTCTTGGGATTTTCCGTTGATTGATTAGTTACAAAGAGGAATTAATCAAACTGCATTTGAAAAATTGTTTAGCATTTTGAACCATTTTGTTTTTTCTTTTCTTTTTCTTTACTTAAATCGCGCGCTTCTTTTTACTATTATTATTATTATTATTATTATTATTATTATTATTATTATTATTATCTTCTGTTCAGCCCAATCCCTTATACAACCATTACCCGAAACCTGGTATAATGATTAATTTGCTTTTACGGCTTATCAAGATTTTGCAGGGTATTTACAGCCAGAACATATTTCTAGATTCTAAGAAGCTTTTGGAACTGATACTGATCCAACTCCTACAAGTTAACCCATGGCTGAGAGGAGAAGTCGTGGATATATATCTTTTTCCAAAGTTATTTGTGCGTAAGTGAATAAAACGAACCCAACTGGAATTGGAACTTGGTTGCCCGATTTTCCATTTCCGAGCCGTTATCCATTACACCATCCGCACATCTAAGTTTACTCGTATTCCCAAGCAGTTACCCATCTAGATATTGACCAGGCTCAATGTTACTTAACTTAACTTTAATGTCTGTTAGAATGAACGGCAAAGTCAGAAGGAATACTGACTTTCTATTACTGATTCTGGGTGATGTTCTCACCATTTTCAGCATGTGGCGTACTGTAATACTAATGTATCTTCTAATAAATTTAGTGCCCAGTAATGTTCATCTTTGTATTCTTACGGTGTCAAAATTGGACAACCAGACACAAAATGGTCATTCGTCTCAAACACCTTGTCCACATAATCTACATATTGCGTATCCACCATTTTTATTGTGTTTGCCTATTAATTCCTGTCAAATAAGCTTTAGTACTTTACAGACATTATAATTGCCTCGTTTCTGCTTTTATTATTATTATTATTATTATTATTATTATTATTATTATTATTATTGGTAAAAGAACAAAATGATAAAGATGAAAATATTGCTATAATTGTTGGCACTCATAATAGCAAGACACAGCCTTAACTCTATAGAGCTGCATAATTCTGATCTTCCAAAGTATTAAGAAAATCTATAAATCTCTTTATCCATAATCCGATTTATTATGCTATGTACAGAATGCTAAAATAGACATTCTTTAAAAAATATATATTTCAGTGTAATTACTACAGAAATAGATGGGCCTATGACGTAGTGGTCGAAAGAGGGATCGGACGTGCTGAGTTCAAATTTCGATCGAGTTTGTTCCGTTATTTTAGTACCGATCGGAAAAGTATGGCATCATCTCTGGTTATGGGTTAAATAGCAAAGCAAACTGGACTCTCTGATCGTGCTTCGCAACCATTCTAGGAGAAGGACGACTCTGAATTCAAAACTGGTTGGGTATAGGCTAAGCAACTTTAACTCAAAAAACGTACATACTCCATGGTATCAGCACTTACTGCGATAAGACTGTGGTCCTATATTCCATAAGATGTCTATAGGAGTAACAATTATTTGGGAAATATTTTCATTTGTTTTGTATAGTGAAGATAGTATCTAATAAACATCTGTATGCCTAAAACTAGTCAAATTGCGTCAGCAATGACCAAAAATTCTGGCAAAGATCTTATAATTATGAGTAACCCAAAAATAGCATCAGTTTTTTGCAAACTAGTTTTTATCTCATCTTATTTTATAGGCTGACAGTCGAAATAGTTGTTGTCTGCATCTGAAAGAAAAGAGAGAACATCAATTTCGACAGCAAACTAGAAGATAACTGTTATTATAAATGCAAGCTGCACGATACATGAGAAAATCCGGACAATAAGTTTTAAAACTAACAAGTGTTGCTCCGTTTTTACAAGCAAACAAAAATTTAACACGCAAAGATGATCAAAGAAAATAACTGGATGATTATACGATTGTATTTTTTCTTGAAAAATTCACGAAGGATTTGCATACGAATGCACGAATAAACTGAGTGAAAGTCATAACTAATTACAAAATATCTAGCTGTGACATTTCAACCATGTGATAGGATTATATGATGAGGATATAGATGTTGAGAGATTATTGCCAAAGAATATCAAGTGTACAATGATAATGATGATGATGGTTATGATGTTAGTCATGGTGATGGGTTCGTGACGATAGCAACGACATAACAACATATGACAGATTATAGTGATAGTGATGATGAGTTTGATAATGAGGTTAATCATCAGAATAACGGCGGATTTTATGCAGAAAACTGACAAATATTATTTTCAGTAATATTTTTATTTGTTTCTCTTTATTAGGTTCACCTGATTGAAGCTGTTATTATTGAGGGGATGCACGACGACGATGTCGTTCATAAAAAAGAAGAACCTTAATATCTTCATCACCTGTAATGATACCGATATTAAGGTTATTCCCACAAAAGTAGAACGAAAGGTTTTTTTTTAAATATTTAAAAACAAAATCTTCGTGAAATTGCCAACAAAGGTTAATGGCAAGCTTCACTTTTTCTCAGTTATATTAAATATTGATTTTAATCTATTCTTATGTTTTATATTTTGGCGTTTTAGTTTGATTTTTTAACAATGAACGTATTGAAAATGTTATTGGTGGAAACCAATTGATCCCTAGGTATTTGAATTTACTTAAAAAATGAACTGAACTTATCTTCATAGTAATTGGTCCTGTATCTTTTCAACATCTTAGGTATTTTCATTTTAAATGCATCGAAAATACTGGTATGAACTAAGAATACTGGTTCTAATTTACCAAGAGCCAAGTGTAAGCCCAAAACCGATGCCTTCAGA